CGTGACATTTTAATTATTTGGTTATGGTGACATTTGAGAATTTAAAGACTAGGCCTGGAATTGATAATACATTTACGGAAGATTATATTATTAATCCTTTATAATTTAAAACTTATAGTACAGATGATGATGTCAAACTATATTTATTGAAAGCGACAATACATTACAGTGAGTTATTGAAATATATTTAAAATTTATACTACAAAGTATATACGTGTGGCAAAAACAAATTTTTGAAAACCAACGAAATAAATGGTTTTTGAGAAATTTATGTGTTAACTTAGCCAATCACAAAATGGCGGCCGTTATACCCATGTTAAATAAGGAAATATTTAAGATGACGTAACTTCTTATATCGATACTAAATCAATCAATTAAATAACCGTTGAAAATTCATATGTTCAATTTAAAGTCAATTATGTTACCGAAGTTGGTAAATTACCTTCGTGTAATATTGATGAGATAAATGGTGGAAAACTGTGTTAATTGGTTTTAGTATGTACTTGTTGCAGTAAATACATTGGGTAGACAATAATAGGAAAATGTATGAGTAGTAGTTAAGTACGCTAGTGGTTATAGTATCAAGTTATTACTCGATTGACCTTTCTTATCGCAAGTGTTATCGTTGTGCGCGTTTCTAGCAAGCATTGTTAGCGTAAACAGCGTTTCGTTATCGCTCTGAGTGATTATCGGCAGCCTTCTATTGTTTATTGTGCTTTCGATTGACCCTATGCGTTCTAGTTTTAAGATACAATTAGTCATTGTTGGATTGGGAAGAATTTGTTAAGGACGGTTGGTGAGAGTTGACGAGAGTTTAAAAATTGATATCTTACGTCTATGAAGAAACTTAACATTTGAATTCTTCAATTAAGGCCAAATTTCATTTTAGTAAAGCAAAAATAGTAAAAGTGAACACAACAATTTAAAGAGCGATGCAAAAGATTGCTCATAAGCGACATTCCTTGGAAGAGACACTACTGAAAGTGTAAATGGAAAAGAAATTGATGAGTACTGCGTGAAGCGTTTTCCAAAACCACAACCCGCTATACGCGGTCGAGAGAAACTGGAAAATAATAACTAACTTGGTATGTGGCAAGAGAATTGCTTGTAAATATTGCAGAGAAGCAGTTTTTGAAATGTGTAAAACGTGGTGGGGGAGTATAGGGTTGTTCTCTGCGGGGAATCAAGAATTCCAGTCACGACCGATCGGGACACGGCGTGAGATGCGAGAGATTACCGCCCGCCTCCGCGCTTTCAATAGCGCGATGCATTGCGCAATTTACTGCACGCGGTGCCCGTGCTCGCTCGTGATAAAACGCTACACCATCTTCCAACAACCATTGCAATCACGATCACCGATGCGCCATGGAAATGCCAGCCAATTATAATCCAAATTTACATATAAATAAATCGCAACTGCACTTGGTTGTGCACCAACGCTAGCATTTAAGGTCGCGACAGGTTACCGCAATTACCGGTCACTACTCTGGTTAACGAGCGGGAAACTGGGTTGACATTTCAAAAGCGAACGTATCTCTCGGCATCGAGGCAGTAATGCGATTAATTTAGAAAGTGAGACTCGACTGCGGTTTGCGGCGACACGACCTGTCCAATTTTGAACGATTTAACAAGTTTAACCGTTGCATAACATGCGGTATATGTAATGTCGATTTAATTACTTCCCAGCAGTACAGGGAAAGCTTTGTCGCAGTTAAATGTCAAATTAATGGTTATTGTCCGAGTGGAAGTGTTTCATTACACGGTTGGCGTGGCGACACGCTCTACTGGCTCTAACGAGATGGCTTTACTTGACTCGACAAACAAGATCGAGTAACAGACTAGTTATGTGAGATTATTGCTCTCTTTAAATTGATTATGACGTCTGCATTACTGCAATTACTCCGTTAAACTTGCATAATATCATCACCGCTTTTTTATTTAAAACTTCATTCCAAATAGTTTCACCGGCCATGAAATGCTGTTTGTATTCAGTTTTAACACTGATAACCTCTTTGTGTACCAGTATCGGCGAGCATATAAAATTTATACGAAAGACCTGATTAATAGTTTCAAGTCACGGGTTTGACTTCCTCTGAGGAGCATTGCGCTTCGCCCAAATAGGTTTGATGATTTTGACCCCTTAACCTCATCTTTTCACAAGTCGCCGTTGTAATAGAACTGAGGTGCTCAATAGATGCATTCTATTTGAATAGCCACTTAACGACCGACTCTGTATTTGTGGTTTAGTTATTCTCAGAAGAATTGCCCGTTTAGTAAATGGCACTCGAAGCGGTATTACACAAGGAATGAATTATTCAAAAGCATCGGCGTAAGTAGGTAAGTACATACGTGTACAGTTATTAAAAATCAACACTAAATAAATTTCTTGAGAAATTTAGATTTTAGTTTAAGCTATTTAGATATTTAGCATAACCTGGTATTAGTGTTTGCATGCTGTAATTAACTACGTCGACGATCTGTGCATATGCGGCGTTCGTCATATATTGGTGCCACGGGGCACCAAGCCTTGCAGCAGGCCTTTCATGAACAATTTAAATAGCGGGCAGAATTTACTGCCGTCGGCGGCGTGAGACGTCGACCACGCTTCGTTGGGCCTCTATGTCAACTTTTTGTCCTTCCTTCCCATTCGATCTAATGAAAAGCTCTCTCTCCGGTTCCGCCTTGACGTTTGTCTTGTCAATCAGCCGGCTGTCCGCCGTTACCGCACTTCCTCTACAAGTTATTTGTTACTCCATTGTTCCCGCCCGCTGATCACCGTCGCATTGTCTCACTACTTTTGTTTACATTCGCTCAATAGTCCTTTGTTTGTAAAGAGACAGGTTTGTTTTCTCCTACGCGTGTTACTTTTGATATTGTAAGCAGATAAGCATGTTTCATATTCTGTTATCGTATGTTGTTGTTTACTTAAATGAATATCAGCTATTGGTACATTTGTAAGCTATCGAGAAATACTATTATTTTCACTTGTTCCAGTATAATGCACATTACTACGCATTACGTCAGTTCATTTGTTTCGCGTGCGATAAGATTATCGATTATTTTAGTTCGTTCCAATGAAATATTTGCAACTTCAAGGCTTTAAGTGTCCACCTTAATGAGGGCTTGGTTTTATATTTAGTTATCGGTAGAATTATTTGCGTTTAAATGATAGTTACCATGTGGTATCTCGGCAAGGTTTACGGGAAAACTCCTTGGCATTACACAGTTACGGTATTCTTAATCGGGCGTCCATAACAGGAAAGAATGCGGCCCGCCCCCTCTGCCGTCATTGTAATGCTGTGTCGCAGAATTCACCGCAACCGGTTCCATGAGTAATCGTGTAGTGCATTAAATATGGCCGACGATGGTGAGTCGTGGCTGGCTGACAGGCTAGCAGCACATTATCATGTCATTATGCGGTTCGCGATGAGATCTCCCACCGCACGCAGCTCGGTAATACCCAGCTGTAGGCGTACAATCGCCAATTTCTTAGCTCTTTATTTTTGTTATGAATAATTTTATATACAATTATGTAAATGCGGATCCTCGTTAACAGTTCCCTCATTAAAATTCCATTGTTGCTCGACCGACACGCAGGCTCGCTTCTTTTGTTTACGTGTCGCGTACAATTTCGTATTTACACCTTTAATTTATTCAATTATGCTTTAATCGGTTTCGGATGTTTGGTTTAGTAAATTGGCAATATCGCACGACTTACAGCAAGTTTTTTTGTCTTGTTAGGCAAATGGGCGCTTGCTTGAATGATTGCGTGCTGCGTTTCGTATTAATTATTTTTTATAACATCAATTTCATCTGCTTCATAAGCAGTGGAGTGTTAATTGTCTTCAAGATAGTGAATAAATTCTCGTTCGTATCACTAGTTTTACTATTAACACGTATCGAGCATGCAAATTACCTACTGCTCTACAACATTGTTATAATAATAACGGTCTACTTAAAATTTATGTAATTAAAAATATGGCTTAAATCTTGTATCAACAATCATCATTCATAAGTTAACATATATGACGTTTGTTAGTGACAGGACGTCCGCGCTTTTAGCATATTTGCCCTCGTTCTGATTTCACGCCAAATTTTGTCCAACGGCGCGGGCGCAGGTTTGCTGGCTACCGGCCAAACGTCATTCACGTGTGGCACGCCGCCGCGACCATGTTTTGGCAAACATGTTTCTTCCACCCACACCACTCAATCTCTCTCACCTTCCTGTTCCGGTTCGCAACACTAGTAATAAACATGCCACAACTAAACGTGACTCCGATAACTAATTCTTGTCACGCATTTTAGCTCCAAGGCCGACAGTCTTCACTCGTGCAACTGTGAAAGTGCTTCATGCAATAATTATCAACTGCGTCAAGGTTTACGAGTAAAAACAGTCCTTGTTAAATTGCAATGAACGTTACGCGATTATCTGATCTTTCGCACTTGAAACATCTGATATAGATTTACTTAATAAGTTCAATACCGTTGAAATTAGCATTATTATTTAGTTTATGGGAAAATCAATGAAATAGCACCTTAATTTCCTTTACGTGTCAATGTCACGTTAAATGTATGTGGCACTTTTCATAACGGAGCCTTAAATTTTGAATGGGTGACATCTACAATGTATTATGGATTCACAAAGGAATATTTGTTCTCATATTCAAGTTAACGTAACACAGTAGAGATTAATACTCAGGTGAAGGATATTGTTCGCATACAATAAATAGTTTTAAAAAGTCGTGGGTGTAGTGTGAATGAGCTAGAGACAACTTTGGCTGTTGACAAAAATGATATTCGATCCAACTGAAATACTGACGTCTGGTGTTGGTGATGATCCAGTATGGAAACTGATTTCGTTGTGAAAAGTACTTATTACAAGTCATTCAATGGATGATAGTGACGTTAAACAAACTATAAAGGACTGGATTCTATTTTAGTTATAGTTCGTCGAAATTGTGGTGACGCATTGAATTAACTCTTGTCTTGTTTTGTTACAGGTACTCAGGATAGTGTGAGTGCGAGTGGTGATGTCGCCGAGTCCAGTGAACAAAACAAGTGCGTAAAGCCGGAGGAAGTGAGCCAACCGGAGTGCCCAGTGGGTGTAAGTGAAGGTGAAGTGAAGAGTGAAGTGAGTGCGGGCGCGGATGGTGTGGCCAGCGCCGTGGCCTCCGAGGAGGACGACTGTGTGATAGTGTGTGCGCGCGATGCGGACGAGAGGTCCGACTCCGGCGTGAGCGGAGTGCGCTCCGGGGGCTCCGCCAGCTCGGTGGAGGAGCGCGAGTGGCGCGGCATGGCGCACGGCTACGGCGGAGGCCCGCCGCCACCCTTGCTACATCTCCCGCCGCCGCCACCCTCCATCTACGCTAGCGACCTGCTCTGGAAGCAGCGCTACCCTCCGCCCCTGCATCCGCCGCTGCACCATGCCATCGCCGACGACTATCTGGCCGCGGCGGCCACCTTCGACAGAGAGAGACATGAAAGACTGCTACGGTGAGTTACCAAATACGTGTAGATTCCGAATCACATCACGCAGTCACATAACACTCAACACATATTGGCGTTGTTTCAAAATTTACGACACCCAACAACAAATTTAGTACAAGGTAGGTAAATTATGAGTTACGTCGGACTTGTAAACGGCAATTCAGAGAATTTGAGGTATACAGTACAACTGTTGTTTTTCCTTAAATGCTTATTTCTATTTATTTTTTGGTGAGTAGCATAAAGGACGTACTTATGTACGGTAATAAATATCGTACACGTTATTTTTATAACTGATTATTTCATAAAATTGTATTTATTTATCTTTGTCATTATGATAACTATGTCTAACAAAGTTGTCATTATTCCGTCGTAAAATGAATGATAACAGATGACTGATTTGGTAAGACCGCTGTCGATATATAAATTTGATAGAATAATTAGTTATTAAAGTACATTACACTTGGTTTATTGTTCATGTCACCGCTCTCATGAATCATGGTTGGCTATAAAACGTGCAAGTTCGTAACAAATTGCCTATAGTCACGGTAGTAATTCAAATTACTTTTTATCAAACGCTATAAACATACTTTTAGTACGTCTACGATGTACAAATTCATAAATCATGTATAGTTATTTATTTTTTATTTTTTATGTATTGTTTAATTTGCTACTTTAAAAAGAAATCACTGTGTTGCAAAGTTATCGAAAATGGAATTTTCCAAATGTATGTTCAGTATACAAAGATCAAATATACGCAAGGAAATAAATCCTTCGATCCGACTAGATTCAAACCAGCATCTGTTGCCTCGCCGTGGCTACCGTTCTTACCAACTGAGGTACAGATCGAATCAGCAGATGTTACGAATTTCTGTATGTGTTATTTTTTTATACCAAGTGAAGGGACGAACAAGTCGTGCAGTTGCAGTGCCACTCAGAGCTTTAAATCCCAAAGATCTGATTGGTACTGCTACTGCGCCCGTCATCTTGAGACATAAGTTGAGAATTAGTCCCAAGTGCCTATAACTGCACCTGCACCCACTCTGCAAAACCGGAACGCAGTAATTGTTGGTGTAAGTCTTTGTATTGGATGTAACCGTGTTAAAATCATAGGAATTTTTCTTTGCATTTCTATACCTCCAATGAACACTACGCCTACTAAATTTTTGGACATTTTCACTTTTATTTTTGTTTCTTTTTTTCCACAAAATTAGTTTTTTTGTGTTTTTTTTTCGAATTTTGTTTTTTGTCTTTCTTTTTAACAAAATTCGGGGAGCATAATATTAGTAAATAAATATAGCTGTTTACAAAAATTCATTGTGTAAAATGTTCATTGGAGGTATCGATTTGTTCGATCTTTGTATCAATAATAATAATAATGCTTGACGTGTGTCCGTGTGTGGTAACAACCTTTACACGTTTAGTCTGCTTCGTAATCGTCAAAATAGTCGTTGACCTACAATTAATTCTATTATCGGAAATGCTATTCTCACTTTGTAATCGGTGTAATTGACCATTGAACGTAAATTTTATACAACCGATTTTATACAACAAACGTCTGAATAGGTCGCAAGTTTCGTTTGTTTGGGACGTTCACTAATTCCTTATGTAAATCTACTTGGGTAGGTATTAATTTGTTTTTATATACGGACATCTGTTTATATTTGTTTTTTTTAATTGGTTGGTTGGATTTCTCGATTTTTTGTGCAATTTATTACTTTGCTATTATATGGTAAGCATTTATTGTCGTCTAATTCAGAATAGTAAGAATTTTCACCATTTTTTGTCTTACTTTCTAATCACAGTCATCAAACGTTTATCAACTTATACGAGTGTGTATTTAACAATGTTAAGGTTGAAACTCGCGTGTAAAATTCACTATGTACAAATATAATAAGTACATTTTTGTACAGTGGATTTACGACTTTTTAATAATTTTGATTATGTAGAAATATGTATATGTTGTATATACCTACTCACCCAAATGTTTGACGTCGGTCTTTATACGTCACTCTTGCGTTTGTTCGTGTAAGTATATGTTTATTTTAGTTTTTTGTGTACAATCGTAAATAGGAAACGCATATAATAATTATTGTATGTCAATTTTTTATTTGTGAAATTGAATTAAAATCTTAGCATTTTTGTTCTTTGGTCCTTGCAAATACATTTTTCTTTATTTTCACTAAAAATCACGTTACGTAATGTCGGCATAACACACATAAGAGTAGGACTAAACTTAACTGTGGTTTAGAATTAAGAGAGAAATGTTAATCGTTTTAGTAGATGCAAAAGTAAATGTAGAAAAGATATTTCCCTTTTTCATGTCACAAAACGGTGGACGTTTTCCGCATGATCGACACAAAATTACAATTTGCGTATTTTTACATTTAGTTTTATATTAAAGCACCAGTACATTTTAATAAAATTTACATGATTTCAACGTTTTAATTATTATACCAACGATTAAAACAATTTTAAAATATATGTACATCCATGGAATATAAATAGAAAATAACGAAATATATTTTGAATGTCATTAATATAACGATGCTTAAGTGTCACAACATACAGCTTATAAATCATAATGTAGCAATAAACTTGTTAAAAAATACCTTAATAGGAAGGGGACTTCATTTTATGAAAAGGAAACGTTAAATAAAATCGACACCCAAAATAACAGCGTTGAGTTAGCTTACTCAGTTAATTCAGGGCCATCTTCATTACCAAGTTTTTTTTGCAATAGATTAAATTACTTCCGTTGACTTATGATTCTTTACTGTTTTTAGTTTCATAAATATTTTTTAGTTACAATAATATATTATCTAACAGTAACGACCTTTCCGTGTTTAATTATAAATACACTACTTACACTTAACTTAATCAAATCCCTAATTTGTTATTGATGACTGCAGTACAAAAATAATGTTGACTTTACAACGTATTGTGTTCCTATCGATACGATTATTGTTGTACGTTACCGTTAAGTACACTATACGTAATTATTCTCAACTGTTTGAATCGCTTCAGCATAATACTATTCATATGCAACGGCACAGTTCATAAAATTTACGTGAATTCTGTTCTATTTTTAAGTTCGAATATTTTCTGAATTACGTTGGTGGTTTATTTAAACAAATCGCTAGTACTTATTAATTACCTTGTAATGAATTTGTATAGATTGACTAAGTGAAGCTTTTCGAAGAAGTCCCGTCATCAATTCAAGTTACGACATCCGTGACCCAGCGGTTAGCACCGTGGGCCCTAGATGAGGACCGGGGCTCAGTTTCCGGTAGGACCAATTTGGGAAACGAACAAACTAGTTCTGGTCTGGTTTGTCTGGGTAAAAATTCATTTCTATGTAAATTAATATAAGTAAAAGGAATTTTACACTTTTATAAATAAATATTATTGTTATATATTTATGTTTATGATAACCCGTTTGTTGAATATCATAATTATTAATACAAAGATCGAACACAAAGGAAAATTCCTTCGATCCGGCTGGAATCGAACCAGGGACCCCGCCATACCGGGGCTATCGCTCTCCCAACTCAAGTACGGAACGAGTAAGTAGACCTGAACAATTTCTCTATGTGCTTGTTGCAAATTGTTGTTTTTGGGTTTAACGACCCTAGAAATAATTTAATGCGATTTCTAGGCGTGCGTTTTCTTATTATAAAACAAATAACTGTTTGCGTCGAAGGTCAATTGACCTCATTATTTATTCTGCGTTAATAATAGAAATAATCTTTGAAGACCTACACTCTCATCTATCATTCACTGTTTAAGGCAATTATCCATTAGAATACTATTGGTAATACGTACAAAGTATACTTTAGAAAAAGCTTTTCGTCGTGTTCTTAATAAAACCTAAAATAAATTTCGCGAATAATAAAAGAAGTCAAAAAGTCATGGTAGCCTAATTGTTTGACCAACCACGACTCAGCCACGGCGCAAAGGTCGTGCTTTCGAATCCGGGCTTGTATCTCGTGAGTTTTCGAAATTTACGTGCGTTTAATTTTAAATTTACCATAAGCTTTTCGGTGAAGAAAAACATCGTGACGAAACCTGCACACATCTGCAAAACATTTTAATGATGTGTGTGAAGTTTCCAATCCTCATTGGAAACCGCATGGGAACTACAGCCATGTGCCCAGCAGTGACATTATTATAGGCCAACTATTTTAAAAGAAATACTGTATAGCAATTAAATATAATATAATTGTATAACATCGGAGCAATTACTATATTTTTAATAACAATCACAGAGTAATTGCTGGTTAAACGAGAGTTACGAGATAATTTCCATACATGTTTGTGCGTTGCAATAATCAGTGGTATACGTATTCTTAAAATAGGTTTGTAATAAATAATATTTATTTTTCGTCTACGTATTTGTTATGCGAGCTGGTTGTTCGGCACTTTTATGTAAATATAGCGTACTCAATTTTACACTGACTGTGTGGACGGTGCTTATTATAAGTGGCTTAGAGTTAATTTAAATCCGAATCGTAAACCTGAGTGAGCCATTCCACTTTCACTCTTTTTTTGAACTGCAAATGGAAAAGCTATCCATATTAGTTACATTTGTTAAAGAAAGAGCCTTGCGAAAGAGTTCGTCCAGGGAAGTACTGCTTTAGTGTGAGTGGCACTGCAACTACTGTGGACAGGTCGTTTAGCCCCAGCTGCATGATTTGTTCGTCTCGTCACTTGGAATCAAAAAATAACTTTTTGATGTAGCTTGCGTTCTCATCGCGACATACGTTTTTTTTCTATTATAAAAGTGCACGAAAAATTTATAATGTTTTTAACTACAGGTTTTTCAAGTATAGAGTTCAACGCGAATGTTCTAAATATTTGGAAAATACATTGGACAGGTAAAAGAGAAACCATAAATACTTCACGTCTTGCGGTGAAGTGCATTAAAATCACTCTAAGTGCAAATAGAATTAGCAGACCTTGTTATACACTACCGTTTATAGTGACAGTTCGCGCCTTTACAATGAAAG